AAGTCATTTTAGGAATTTGTTCCCGTGCTAAACACTGGAGAGAGGTCCATGGCAGGCACCAAGCATCTCTGGTCTTGGTGGCAGGAGGATGGTGACACTGGAGGAACGCTATGAAAGGCCCTAAGGCAGAAGGGGTGTTCGCATGAGTGCATGGACTCCTTGATGATAGCAGGGTGTCCCCAGTGGCTTTTTTTTTTTTTCCATTCCCTTCAGGCTTGACTCTATTCTTACACAGCAGCCCCTTTCCAAAAGGGTGGGAGGAGGCACTTGGCTAGAAGGGAGCCTGTTTTAAAGTAGATATGGTTATAAAATTCAAATGAACGTGCAGATAGGCATTAATTTTTGTCAATAAACTCAGAGTATAGCCAGAGTTTTATCCTGCCAGGGTTCATCAGGATTTCTGGAATTAATAAATGACAAAGCAATTACCGGACTAGTAGCAATGTCACACAATTATACTTGAAAATATGTATTTTGTTTTTCTTTAATATCAATGGGGTTTGAATGCAGGGTCCTGTGCTTGCTATGCAAGCATTCTATCACATCCCAGTCCTTTTTCTTTAGTTTGTTCCAGATTGGGTCTCACACTTTTGCCTGGCCTCAGAAAGCAATCCTCCTCTGTCACCTGAGTAGAGGGACCACAGGCATGCACTGTTGCACTTAGCTTGTTTTTTGAGATAGGTCTATTTTGCTTGGGCTGGCCTCAGACTGTGATCTTCCTACCTCTGCCACCCCAAATTATGTACTTTAAAAAGATCTGTCATTAAATTTGAGTTTATAAAATGAAAGTCTGGGTTAAAGCTTTAACATTTTTTACTTAAAATACTAATAAAAATCTTTAAAATTGTATCATTAGAAAAATTCTAAACCTAAAGGTATGACAGGATTAGGCTTTATACTTTCTTGTTGTTGCTCTTTTCTTTTTTTGGTCATAGTGGAGATTGAACCCAGAACCTCATACCATGCAAGCACTCTACCACTTGAGCCACACCACCAGCCTTTTTTTTCTTTCTTGTGGGTCCGAGGTTTGAACTCAGGGCTTTGCACTTGCAAAGCAGGTGCTCTACTGCTTGAGCCACACCACCAGTCCATTTTGCTCTGGTTACTTGGAGATGGGGTCTTGGGAACCTGGGCTGGCCTCAAACCATGATTCTCTTGATCTCAGCCTCCCAAGTAGCTAGTATTACAGGCATGAGCCACTGGCACCCAGTTACTTTTCTTTTTGATGTGGGGTCTCACTAACTTTGCCCAGGTTGGCTTTGAACTTCTGATTGTTCTGCCTCAGGCTTCTGAGTGCTGAGATTATGGACAGGTACATGCCCAGCTACACTTCCCTGATGAAGAACGTAACTGGTTAATTCTTTTAAATCTAATCCTAAAACAGAAAATTGTGTATACATGTATCCTTTGTAAGTGATCAAGTCTAACTAAACACTATGAAGTTTTGCACATACTGAGTGTTTTTAACTGTGTGGCTAAGTGTGTTATGCCTGTCAGGAAAACCAGTGATCTCTGCACCACGGACAAGTTCCAGGAATGTGCTCTGAGGCTGGGAATGACAGTGAAAGCCAAGTTAGTTTTTCAGGTGGTGATGGGTGTGTAACTCAATTCCCCCTAGAGCCCTGACTTGAATGTCCCAGGCACCTGTCTTCATTTTCACTCTTTGGAAGCTGCACTGACAATGTCCGGGAGCAGGCAAACCCCTGGAGCCAACTGTGAGAAGACATCACTGCTCACAACACCAGCCCGACCCTCTGGTTTGCTCAGGAAGTAGGGGGCTCTGTATTTCTCTTGGGCAAGTGTTGGGAGCACTGGTCAGTAGGAAATCCTGGGACAGAGGAGCAAAGGTCAGGGAATGTAGGCCCCAGACCTACTTGGCTTGCATTTGGTTTCATTGTAGTTTGGTTCCAGTATATAAAATTGTCCGCCCATCCCCCCAACATTAAGTTCCTATCTAGTGTTACAAATAACAGACAGGTATGTCTTTTTCTTTTTTTTTTGCAGTTCCAGGGTTTGAACTCTGGGTCTATACCTTGAGCCACCCCACCAGCCCTTTTTGTAATGGATTTTTCGAGATAGGGTCTTGCAAATTATTTGCCTGGGTTGGCTTTAAACTGTGCTCCTTCTGATCTCTGCCTCCTGAGTGGCTAGAATTACAGGCGTGAGCCACTAGTGCTCGGCTATACTGGCTATTTTTGAAGTGCTGTTAGATTAAAATTTCCATGGCTATAGCTAAAAAGCAGTTTGATAAAGTTTTTTGGTTTTTTTTTTGCCAGTACTGGGGCTTGAATTCAGGGCTTCGCACTTGCTAGGCAGGTGCTCTACCACTTGTGCCTCTCCGCCAGCCCTTTTTTGTGTTGGGATTTTGGAAATACTTTCTCAAGAACTATTTGCCTGAGGCTGGCTTCAAACTGGGATCCTCTTGATCTCTGTCTCCTGAGTAGCTATGATTATAGGTGAGTCACCAGTGCCCAGCTAAAGTTTTGTTTTCATATTTAAGAAAACCCGATTTATACTGATTTAGTAATAATATTAAGAAAAGCTAGTATTTCTGAGCTACTATTACTACTCTACAAAGAAGTCTGAGACAGGAAGAGGAAGCACTGGGGTGGGGAATAGGGGCCTACATTCAAGACTTGTTCTGCAGACCTGGACATTTTAGTATCAGGGGAAGAAAGCTAGAAGTTATGTTCTGTACTGAGTATAATCAAGTGCTTTTCAAATGAATAATAGGCATGCAATCTCCCACTTGGAGTTGCCTGTTTAATTTTAAAAACATTAAAAACTTTTTTTTGAGGCAGGATCTATCTTGCTATGTAGCCCAAGCTACCCTTGAACTCATGATTGCCCTGCCTTAGCCTCCCAAGTGCTGGAGTTACACTGTGTGCCACCATGTTCAGCTCATTTTTGAATTCTTTCAGTTGGAATTCTGTAGAGAGGAGAAGGACATAGAGTTTAGGAAATAGGATATCACAGTTTTATCTTGAGCCTCTAAAAGTTTTGTCACAAAAATCCCAGGAAGAGTTAGGCTTCGGTGGCTCATGCCTGTAATCCTAGACATTTGAGAGACTGAGATTGGGAGGATTGTGGTTTGAGGACAACCTGTGCCAAAAAAATTCACGACACCCCATTTTAACAGAAACCAGCTGGGGGTGGTCATGCTCCTGTCATAGCAGAGATGGCACGAAGTGTAAAATAGGATCACAGTCTAAGCCAGCCTGAGCAAAAAGTGAGGCTCTATCTAAAAAAAAAGACAAAGAAAAAAGGACTGGAGGTGTGGCTCAAGTGATGGAATGCTTGTCTTGCAAGTGTGAAGCCCTGAGTTCAAATCCTAGTGCTGCCATAAAAAGAAAGGAAAAAGTCCTGGGAAGCAGCACTACTAAAGTTGTTACACTGATGAGAAAATATGTTCAAAGAGTTTAAGTAACTTGGCCCCAGTCATCCAGGCCAAGCCAGGATGCACTACAGCTCAGAAGTGCAGAACTTCCCAAAGACCATACACCTTCGTCAATATTACACTTTTAAAGTATAGTAACCACAACACTTTGGTCAGATAACACCTATAAAACATACACTTACGAAGCTATGTGGCATGTATTTATTTACATTCATATACATGTAAAGTTAGAGATCATACCATAATTTTCCCGGTTAGAGCTACAAAGATGCATCCCAAATGTCTTACATGCATTCTGGTAGAACAGAAATCCTATGGCTCCCTACTGTTGAGTGGCATTTAAGTGTACTGATTCTAGTAACAGCTGGATCCCACAGGCAATGCTCACCTAAGAAAATGTCTTAGAATCTGACAGCTCCACCCCATATGTTGAACAGGATTAGATCGCCTCCTAATGGCATCAAAGAGCATTTCTTTGTGAATTATTCACATGGGGGGCTTTCAGTTCCCTTCGCATTAATGCATGCACACAGAGCTGCATTCTATTCCATACAAGAATTCTATTCCATACAAGAGGAAATCATTTTAGTACTGAAAAATTTTATTCCACATCTCCATCCATATCATAGTATCTTTGAAATGTGCTGTCAAGGGAACAATAGATTCTAGGCCAGTGTTTAATTTTGTTTTGTGCACACTGAAGGTTCAGCCTGGCAGGTGGTTAGTGAGATTCCAGGTTGCTATGGGACGAGGAAGAAAGGACATTTTAGTACCTTTGTTTTTTTTTTTTTTTCTGTGCTAGGGATTGGATCCAGGGTCTTACACATGCAACCTTAACTCTAAGCAATTAAAGTTTATTTTTATAAAAGCTCCAACAAGCAAATTTGCATAGGCAAGCGCCTACACAGATGGCAGTGGTGAGTTTTAAAGTGTGCACTTCACTGAGGCATCTTCATTGTTGGGATTCCTGGCTTTTTTGCTTTTCAGCTGTGCTGCAGTCCTGGCACGAGATGATAGTTATGGCTTAGTTGTAGTGTTCCGCCTGTTCTCTCCCTTAAAATGCATTCTGAGTGGGTAGCAAACTAATTTAGCCTGTGGAACTAAGATTAAGTAGTGGGAGATGAGGGATAGCACAGTTTGTGTTCTCCCACCAACTGCTGTGGCTTGGCGGCAGGGTACTGCCTAACTTGGTGGACCTGTCATCACAAGCACACAGTCTTCTCCTTTTCCTGGAGAACTTGTAACCTGAACTGCACTTGGTTTGCTGGATGTGGGAGCCCCTATCCATTATCAGTGAATTGATTGCTGGCAGTTGGCCCAGATGGTGACTTCTCCAAAATGTATGATTTTTAGGACATTTCTGTTTTGAAGTTTTCTGTATAATGCTTTTCAGTAAGGACAGATTCTACTATCAATAATTTTTTTTTTAAATCTTAAGCTAGCTAAATCTCAATTTTCTTATCAGTTGCTGAGTCTATCCAGAATTAATCCAAACCATCTGGAAACTGTGGGAGTAGGAATTCATGCAACAAATACTTATTGAGCCCCAACAATGAACAAGAGCTGTTCTAGGAGCTGGAAATAAATAAAGCAAATGGTGCCATTATAGTTGATATACTATTTATTTATTAAGTTATTAATATGGACAATCTATTATGCAACATTACAGATGTCTTTCAAATCTTAACAAAGTATAGTCCACTACCCAGCCCAGGAGAAAGACAAAAAACAAGGTCATTCTTGTAAGTGTAGCACAAGCACTCACAATAGTCCCTTATTTGGACATCAGAGGGAATAATTAGTCAAGAGGTTCTTCACTTCATTAGAGTTTTAACTTTCTTGAATTCTAGCTGTTTTAGAGTCAAAAGTCCAACTTAGATTATCCACTGATGTATGGTACCTCGTGTTGGGAGGAGGGGCTCCTGTCACCTCCTTGGCAGCCCTTTCTACTGTTCCACACTCCTTCTGCAGTGGAGCCCGCCCTCCCTTCTAGGCCAGTAGCGGTCAGACTTGGCTATGGGGAGTCACAGGTGGGTCACAGGATGTTCTTATTAACTTACAAAGGTTGTGTTTCAAAGCTCTAAAAACCCGTTTGGTGGTGGTAGTGGCAGTGAAAAGCACACTATATTTGCCAAGGGGGTTCTTCTCATCTCGAGTCTTGGCTTCCTTATAGCCTGGGAGACTACTGCAGGTCTCAGTGCGAGTGAAGGAGGGAAATTCCAACAGTGATTGGTATGAAGCATCTGCAGAATGGACTGGACTGGCTACTATGGCTTTTATAACCTGCCTTCCTTTCTTTCAGCGAGACAAGCTTATTTCTTCATCTTTCCTCCTATGTCATGCTAGTATTAGTACAAGATTTAAAACAACTATGAAAGATGAAACTCCTAGCTTTCAATCTGAATGCTGAAAAACGAAAAACCAAAAAAAGTCCATTCTCCGATGTGCTATACTCAAACTTCCTCAGTTGAAAACAAATGCCAAATGACTTCTAAAGACAAAGTGTTGGACAATGCTGATTAAATGACTGAAGAAGTTCTGAGGTGAAACTACACATATTTCAGAATCTAAAATACAGGAAAACCCAAATATATAGTGTAGTAGGGATTCTCTAATCCCTTAATTCTACTCCACATTGAAAACTATAAATGTTTTCAACATCAGGCTACTGATGACTGTCAATTAAGATGGAACCAGAAACCTTAGGAAGTCTTGCCAAGTTTGTGGCAGTTTCAGTAGTCTACATAGTTAGGAAAAAGGAGAAACCATAGGGTAAGGAGTGAGGGCATTGGAATTTATTTAACTCTAGGTACCATGGGCTTAACATTAGTAAGTAAGATTAAAGAATGAGCAGTCATATAGTTTTTTTGGTCATTGTGTTTTCCAAGCACCCAAAAAAAAAAAAAAGATCTACATTTTCCTATAGAGTTTCACCTTTAAATAAGCTAGAAAGATCCTGCTGCATTCTGTTTCCAATTTACCAGTACATATTATGTAGTTTACCACATGTGAGGAGCAAGTCATATGTAGTACCAAGTTTAGATCATCATAGGACTACAACATGCACATTCTACTTAATGTAGCTCAAGCAACAGGAATACAAGAGAACAGTTATGGGTAGAGACTCGTTTTGACAGTCATGTTCACACTAACTATGGGTTTAGAAATCTTATTAGCCAGGTACCTACAGCAGTTCTTCAATTGGTACTGGAACATTACACGCATGCACAAGTGGTGTGGTAGAGAATGAAGTAGAAGAGTCAGCTGGAGTAGGACTAAAGGGAAATCGGAGATGGCATGGTGCCATGTTGGGAGTCTGGCAGTTCTCAGCTCTCCACAGTAAGTCTCTGCTCTGTGAGAGAGGCCTGCTGGGCAACACTTTTGTTCTCGTGACTGCGAAGTTTGGATATGACATCTAGAAAGGCCAAATCCTGCACTTCCTTATGTAGAGATTCTGGGAGATAAAAATAAGATAGGGTTCCATTAGGTTGTTCTAATTTTACTCTATAATCTACCCCAAATATAAACCCAAAATGTTTATTTTGATGAGACAGCTATAAAACTAGGAAGAATTCTGGGAAAAAAAATGGTGGTGGCCTAGCAATGTCCTTTTTTGGGGAGTATATTGTAATAAGTCAGAGAAATTGTATTTGCCGCATTTTAATAAATATAAATCAGGTATCGAGTTCTATAGCCTAAGGTTGATTTAGGGGAATGAGTTAAACACAGCTCATTGTATGATCTCAAAGTTCAGTTATATCACCATTTCCATCCTATCACCATTTCAAACATGAAGCCGGATGATTTACTGAAAACCTTAGGATCTGTTAAATTAATTTTGTAGCAAATGAAAGTTTACATTTCACATCCTTTCAACAAATTTCTGTAGGGGTGTGGGGCTCCTTCTCCAATTACCTACCCTACTCTTTCTGTCCTTTTACTGCTTTGTTTAACCTTCACTATAGGAAAGTATAGGACTCTTGGTGTCTCTGAAAACCTACTATTGGGAAGAGTGAGGTCTAACAAGCTTAACGTAATCAGCTTAACTCCTTAAACTGCCATGTTTATTTTGGTATGTCCACCAGTTATCATAAGAACATTTTTAGTAAAAATAGAAAAAATCTATCTTTATTCATATAGAACCTTGAGGGACCACAAATCTACAAAATAATCTGGAACAAAACTCTAGAGCTCACATTCCTGATTTTACAACTTATAATAAACCTATAATCAGAAAAGTGTAGTATTGGTATAAAGACAGATCTATAGGCCAACAGAACAGAATAAGCCTAGAAATAAAACCTCTTACAGTTAAATGATTCCTCATTTCAATGAGGAAAGAATAGTCTTTTTGACAAATGGTGTTGAGGAAACTGGATAGTTCCATGTAAAAGAAAAAAGTTAAATCCATACCTTACACCATATATAAAAATAAACTCAAAACCCAACTTTTGTGCATTATCAACAGTAAAAAAGGCAGCCCATGAAACGAGAAAAAAAAATTTGTAAATCACGTATCTGGTAAGGGACATACAAAGGACTCCTACAACTCAATAAAAACATCATCAACATCTCTAACAATTAGGGAAATACAAATAAAAATTACAGTAAGATACTGCCTCTCACTAAGATGGCTATTATCAACAAAAGAGAAAATAACAAGTGCTGGTGAGGACATTGAGAAGTTGGACCCATGTGTTATTGGTAGAAATGTTAAATAGCCAAGCCACAGAAGAAAACAGTATGTTGGTTCCTCAAAAAGTGAAACACAGAATTACCATATGATCCAGCAGTTCTACCTCTGTATATCTTCCCAAAAGAACTAAAATCAAAGATTTGAAGAGATATTTTTATACAGTGTTTACAACAGCATTATTCGCAAAGGTTAAAGAGTGCAAACAACCCTCCATCAACAGAGGAATAGAGAATATGTGTTATGTACACACAATGGAACATTATTTAACCTTAAAGAGGAATGGGATTCTGACAAATGATAACACTGATAAGCTGTAAATGTATATGCTAAGTGAAATCCTGACATGGAAGGACAAATATTTTATCATTTCACTTATCTGAGATGCTCAGAGTTGTAAAATTTATAGAGATAGAAAATAGGATTGTGATAGCCAGAGGCAGGGGAGAGGGTAAATGGGGATTGACTGCTTAATGGGTACAGTTTTGGTTTTGGAAAATGGAAACTGTCCAGGCTGGATGGGAATGATGGTTGCACAGCAACACAAATGTACTTAATGGCTCTGAGCTACACACTTAAAAATGACTACAGTGGTAACACTTATGTTTTACTGCAATCAAAAAAGTATGTCAGCAAACAACTATGAACATGCTTGAAACAAATGGAAAAAAAAAAAAAACCAAAAAACAAAAACCACCCAAAGCCATAGAAGACATAAGACAGGAGCAAATGGAAATATTAGAACTCAAAAATAATCATTATAGAACAATAACTGAAATAAAATTTGATAGGTTCAATGTTGGAATGGAGCACACAAGGATAAAAAAGTCAGTGAACTTTAAGAGAACAACAAAAATTAATTTGAAAAACAGAGGGGAAAAGTACCCTGGGGACAAGAAAAAGACCAAAGTCTCAGGGACCTCTAGGTCCATGAGTGAAGGTCTCCCAATTCCTGTCACCAGAAACATGGGATGAGAAGAAAATAAGTACCTGAAAAACACAGGTTAAAGAGTCTTCAAATTTGGTAAAAGACATTAAACCTATGGATTCAAGAAGCTGAGAAAACTTCTCACAGAAGAAACTCAAATGCATGCCTCAGACATACTATAGACAAAGAAAAAAATTTTTGAGAGGAGGAAATAATAATACCTTACCTACAGGGGCTAAAACAAGCAAGATTTTTCATCAGAAATTATGGATGCTAAAAGACACCAGCAAAAAGCACAGCATTCTTCATGTACAGAAAGAAAAGAACTATTAACGCAGAATCCTCTATTTGAAGAAAACATTTTTCAGGATTGAAGGGGAAACAAAACTTTCTCAGATGAGGGAAAAATAAGAGACTCTCTTGCTAGCAGACCTAACTTGGGGCTGCTAACACCCAAGAATGGAAATGGAAATATTAGAACTCAAAAATAATGATTATAGAAAACTGAAATAAAACTTGATAGTTCAATGTTGGAATGGAGGACACAGAAGAAAAAAAATCAGTGAACTTTAAGAGAACAATAGAAGTTACTCAATCTGAACAGAGGGAAAAAGGTCACTGGGGACAATAAAGAATGGGTATTAGAGTTCTCTAAGAAAAGAAATGATTGGTTTTTAAAAGGGAATTTTTTTAAAAAGTGGGTAAATACCACAGACTTTCCTTAAGAGTTTTCTGAATTATGTTTGATAGGGCAAACAAAAATTATAATAGTTGTCTCAGTTTTAAATGTATACAGAAGAAATATTTAATACCATTTATTACATTATAAACAATAAAAGGGAGTGAAAACAAATAGAAAATACAGCAAAACAAAAATGAAATTGCTCTGGCAAGGCAGGCATGGTGCCACATGCCTATAATCAGAGACAGAATGATTGATAGTTCAAGGCAGATCTGGGCAAAGACTCAGAAACAAAATACAAACAAAACAGCTGGGAGCGTGGCTCAAGAGGTCGAGTGCTTGCCTAGCAAATGCAAAGCCCTGGGCTTAATCCAGAGTACTGTCCCCTCCCCATAAAAGGCATTGGCAGAGTGGTTTATAAAGCATGACTCAAATATTGTCTACAAAGACACTACTTCAAATACAACACAGAAGACTGAAATGAAAAGAGTAGAAAAAAGATAATGAGAATGTTGTTCAAAAGAAAGGAGGAGTAGCTATGCTAATGTCAGAAAAAGTGACTTCAGAGCAAGGGAAACTAGCAAAGCCAGACAGTCATACTGTCAGTCCACCAAGAAGGCACAGCAAGCCTAAAGTTGTATGCTACTAACAACAGGATCGAAAAATAAGCTAAAAACTGACTATAAGGAGAAATACTCAAGTCTATAATTATAGCTGGAGAATTCAGCCTCTCTCTCTTTCTCCTAACAGTTTACAGAATAATTAGTCAGAAAATTAGCAAGAATACAGAAACCGCAGCATCACAACCAACAAAGGTCTAATTTGCATTTATAGTGTTCTAATGCTACTCAATGTCAGTAGGACGAACATTCTTTTCAAAGAGTACATGGTACATATACCACAATAGCTCAGTGAGTTCTTGAACAAATTCCTTAGCTAGTGTCCTAGCATGCAAAATCAGAACTTGTTCTTTATATAAAAATACATTTTAGGGTTAATGAAATGTAATTATTAATATTATTTTTGCCTATATTTACTATATGATACTTTCTATTATAGTAAGAATTCTTGGGAACAGTTTTAGTGTAAAAGTGTAAATCCTATATCCTCCACAAATTAATTTTTAATGCTTTTTAGACACCAAGTTACCATTAATTATTACTCTACATTCAATATCTGATGTCAACCATATGTTGGTAGCCATCAAACAACAGAAGGACTACCTACCAGATCCCATGAGAGCACAGATTAGGACCATGGCGTTATATTTGATTTCAGGAGCACTCCTCTCATCTGCTAGCAGCCTGTGTAAAATCTGTACAAGCTTAGCACTTTCTAGGTCTTTCTCAGCAGTACCTAGAATATAAAAGAGTTATAACCACTCCACATGAACCTCAAACCAACAGGCTAAAACTAACCATGTGACACCTTCAAAAAGAGACTGATAAACAACATTAAATTCAAACTTTGTGAAAAGTATAGACATTTCAGGAGTTTAGGCTTAATGTTCAACACTAAATATTCCTTTTAATCTGAAGCAGTTTAAAAACACTGTATTATGGAAAATGTTAAACACACAGAATATAATCATATAGAAAGTGCAAAAAACTTCAAGAACTATTACAGCCAATCTTGTTCATCCATCTACTCTTACCCATCCCAAATTATTTTGGAACAAATGCTACAAATCATATAATTTCTTCAACAAATATTTCATCTTATTTATCTTTAAGATGTAAGTATTTATCTTTAAAATATAAGGACTGTATAATTCCAATCAAAATCCTGAAACACCCTATATCTTAAAGAAACATTTTGTTTTGTTTTTTCAAAAAACAAAACAAAACAAAACAAGAAAACAGGAAGGCAAAACAGGTCCTGTCTAGGGAGTTAGTACCCTAAGAGGGGGGAAGGTATAAGGAAAGGGAGTAGGAGGGCAAATATGGTAGAAATATTATGTAATCAATATTATGTACATAAATGGAAAAAATGAGACCTACTGAAACTATTCCAGGAATGGGGGAGAAGGGATAAAGGAGAATGATGGAGGGGGTGAATTCAACTTTGATATATTTTAAGACCTTTTGTAACTATCACAATGTGCCTCCAGTAAAATAATAATAAAAAAAGAAAAAGCATCTCAAAGATTTTCTATAGTAAACAGACAAGCTTACACTAAAGTAGAAAAAGTGTAAGTCCCCAAGTTCAAATCCCAGTACTGCCAAAAAGCAAACAAAGTGGTAAAATGACAGCTTGTTAGAAGATGCTAGTCATGAAGGGCCCAAAACTGTCTGAAATTGTTTCACCACTTTAAGCCGTTTTAAACTAGGTGATGAACTTGTTTGTTATCATGTGTCTTAGACTCCCAGATTGACTGATAAAATCTACCAACCACAAAAGCAACTCTAACCATTGACCAGTCACTGAAAATAAGCATAAATGCTCTTGAACTCTACTTTATCCCTAAAATTCAAGCAAGTTTCATATCACTTTTATAGTACACCTATTTTTTAAAAATAATTATGAATTGCTTAAAAACTTAAAACCACATAAGATGACAAAACCTAGAATTTTTTGTGCTCAAAATCTGAGTAAGTCAGACACTGTAAGGAGATGCAGCCTTAGCCTTTAATTACAGGTTATGTGGCTCTGATACAATGTTTCTGGCTGCTGTATCAGGACTTGGTTCCTGAGCCAAAGGTTGCTACCTATATGCTAGATGTGTATGAGCTAGCTTCTCATGCAGAATTCTGTCCAAAGGGATGGAATGTGCTAGACAGGCAATAACAGAGTCATTTAGACTCTGCTTTTAGGGACTTTTGAACATGAAAAACACAGAAAAGTGGCACCAAAGATGAGACTATAGAGTGAAGGCAATTCAATAAAGCAACAGAAACTATGGTAACAGAAGATGAGCAGGACAGAATCAAAGCTGACCAGCAGGGAAGGAAGGGAAAGTCTGGGTCACAGGAAGCCTCTACTTGATGTGGTATTCTAAGTATTGCTTCATTTCCCCGTGAAGCCTGCTGGAAATGTTTTCTATGTTCTCTAAGTAGCTATATAACCTGAGATTATATATTATTTAAAAGTTAAACCTTAATGCACTACCTTAAAAATGTTACCAAAAGCACAACCAAAGGAAACAGCTGTGGGAACAACCTACATAAGTGATTTTCCATGTATTTGGATTTAAGTGCACCAGCAAAACACTTCTAGTGAAGGATCCATTTGACTTCAATTCCACTCCTGTGCTTCCTTTCATTCAAGATAAAAATAGCAGAAAGTAAGTTTGTCACTGAGGTACTTACCCAGTTCTAAAGCTGCTATTAGTGCCAAAGCAACAAGGGCTTCATTTTGCATTATTACATGTTCACTAGTTGCCATGGTAACTAGATGCTTGATGCCACCACTCTGTACAATGGTTTTAATTACATCCTACAATAAATAAATAAATATCACAGAATTACAAACTTTAATTGCAAACATAAAGAAACTGCATTACAACCAGTCAATTCATTGAATGGTCTTGTGATATTGTCCTGTACAAATCGTTAATTTTAACCATAAAATTTTTCTTCACTGAAGAAAAGGAAAAGGCTTTTAGCTTTAAATAAATTCATCAAAAGATGACAACTTAAATTGCCTAAGTGGAAAAAACAAAACAAAACAAAAAAACCATTGCACATCTTGTCAAGGAACAGAGAGGCCTAGAAGCTACCAAAGCCAAAAAAAAAAAAAAAAAGTGCCACTACCCCAATGCAGACCTACCTCAGAATCAACAAAAAAGAAATAAAACTTGGAATTAAACAAGTTTTCCTTTAACAAATTTTATGAAGGTGGCAGGTAGCTATTCTTTAGGTGCTCTGAGTAATGCTTTTATATAAAATTTTTTTTAAAGTAACTTTTACCCCTTAGTTTGATCTGATGAGTTTGAGAACTGGATTACATGCCAAAGGACTGACAGAACTTTAATCAAAATTTTCTGACTGACCTCATTTCCTATGGTGCATGGAGCTCTTTCTCCAAAGCAGAGGACACAGTGAGCTCAGGATTCAATAAATCACTGACTTTGAGTGAACTACTGGAGCTTCTCTTATTTTAGTGACTTTACCTATGACATTATGATGGTATCGATGTATCTTGCCTATTTTTGTAACAATTATAATGTTATTACATACAAAGTGCATACAAAAAATCTGACAAAAGTTAGATGAAGGTTGGGGATATAGATTTGTGGTAGAATGCTTGTCTAGCATGCACAAGGTCTTGGGTTCCATTCCCAACATTGCAAAAAAAAAATGAAAAAAATAGTCAACAGTTATTTCTAGTAACCATTCTGTCTTCACTCCACTGAAGGTTTTATTATCTTAGCACTCTTAGGCTAAATATGATTTAGTGGGAAGTCTCAAGTTCAGAATATTTTAAAAATAACATTCTGGGCCAAATATGTTTGTACATGCTTGTAATTCCAGCTACTTGGGAGGATTGAGGTGCCATGTCAGTGTGGGCAAAAAAAAAAAAAAAAGCTAGCAAGACCTTATCTCAACTATAATCCAGGAGTGATGGCTCATACAGGAGGATTGTGGCCCAAGGCTAGCCTGGGCAAAAAGTGGGAGACCCTATCTGAAAATTAACTAATAAACAAAAAGGGCTAGGGTTGCAGCTCAAGTGGTAGATAGAGTACTTGCCCAGCAATGCAAGGGCCTGAGATCAAAACCCCAGTACTTCCAGAAAAACAACTTCCTTTGCTAGTTTTCACCACTTTTAGTAATTTGGAATATGTTCCAGATACAAGAAGTAGCCTAAGTTACTATCAATTACATAAATCTAATCATAATTTTAAGTTAATTTGCTAAAATATTTGAAAAAGGTTTCTTTTAAGCTTTCATCTTATATAATTTTTAAGACATCTATTTACAGAAAATATCTTTGCTTGGAGCCCACATTCATTTAGTGATCAAACATTGTAAATCGGTGGAGTACAAGAATTGAGTTTTTATGGTAGCTGTGTTCGGGCATTTCTAAGTCTTTTCCCATTCACCTCTTGTAGAAAAGTAAGAAGCTATCTTTTAAAGCCTTTTCTGACTTTATAATTTACTCCTTACTTAGTAAAAGTTTATTTGAATCTGACACATAGTTCATACAATTAGTAAAGAATTTTATAAAACTCACAAAGAAGTAAAGACCACAAGATGTTAACAGACACATATGCAGTCACCTAAGGACAGTCCTTGAATTGCCATTTCAAGGCAGTTATTTGTATTTTTCGAAAAGTCTGCTGTGGTAGAAGAACAGGGAGTGAAGAAGTATGCCTATGACAAATGAACATTCTCTCCTGCAAATCCAAGCTTAGCTTTTTTCTCTCTCTTCTTCCAGAGCAGGTATCTAACTATTTTCTTTAAAAATGGCTGCCAACTGCTTCAACAAGTATATATTAAACAGCTATTCCATGGTTGCTTTTCTGGACAGAAAGTAGGATAAAGATAGTGTACTTGTATCATGTGGCAGAAAGGGAAAAGAGTATTATCCACGGCTACCCTTTTGGAGCAACAACTTCACGCTGGACATTGTACTGGGTAGCGTACAGGCACTAGTTCGTTTTTATCCTGCAGAAATTCCCTTGGCTAGATATTATCTTCAGTTTATCGATGAGGGAACTGAAGCTCAAATTAAGTTATGAAACCTGCCCAAGGTAAGACAGTGATTAAGGTAAAGCCAAGATTCAAATCCAGACAGTTTAGCTACCAGGTCCTTGCTCTGAACCACTTGTGGCCAATGCAAAAATATAAGCACTAAATTCATAGTGTCACATTTAATGTGATCTGTAAAGGCTCCCTCAGTATATTGTAAAGATGTATTTTAACTTCAAGATATTTTTAAAAGAGAAGGATATTAGCACCACTTCACAAAGCAAAAAGGTCCATCTGAAGCATTACAAATGATCTTCAAAAGTGAACCCAGAGATACCTTTAGTTTCTCTCACATTGTTTCACTTTCAATAAATAAGCTGTCAATAAACAGAATCAAACAGTTTTCTAGATGCCTTGGTAAAGTCTCTAGAAATAACGGAGATACTTTATTAAGTTTGAAACTAAGTTTTGGTACATATAAACCCAAAGTAAATGATATACTAACAGCTTCATCTCTTTAGTACTTATAGTCAATTTGCCCTTGATTACTGAAATAAACTTGGTTCAAGACTTTGTTGAGAACTGTATAGTGATGTTGTTCACAATAGATGTTCTGAGATAGAAATTGATGCTCTGAAATCCAAGCCTAAGATTCAGCTCTGTGGAGCCAGTGAATCACCTAACAAACACTATCTTTTTTCACATTGTATCAAAGTCTTTCCAGTATGGGATTTAAATCAAAGTGCAAAGAAAAATGCCTACTTCAATAGGTGGGAGACTTAATAGTCTTAGTAAAAGGCAAACTATATATATTTATTTTTGGTTTTGGCTTTTGGTATCTGCAATTGGTACCTTGCTAGTTGGTCAGGGAGTCTGGCCTATGGCACTCTTTTTCAGGGAAAGGTGTGAGAGTACCTACTGACATAAACACAGGAAACCACAGAATGAGGTGGAGATGACTAAGCAGTGTGAAACCTTGTGAATCAGCACAGACTTTTTTAAAAATTTTTATTTTTTTATTATTCATATGTGCATACAATGCTTGGGTCATTTCTCCCCCCCTGTTCCCACCCCCTCCCTTACCACCCACTCTGCCCCCTCCCTCTCCCCCAACCCCCTCAATACCCAGCAAAAACTATTTTGCCCTTATTTCTAATTTTGTTGAAGAGAGTATAAGCAATAATAGGAAGGAACAAGGGTTTTTGCTGGTTGAGATAAGGACAGCTATACAGGGAGTTGACTCACATTAATTTCCTATGCATGTGTGTTACCTTCTAGGTTAATTCTTTTTGATCTCACCTTTTCTCTAGTTCCTGGTCCCCTTCTCCTATTGGCCTCAGTTGCTTTTAAGGTATCTGCTTTAGTTTCTCTGCGTTGAGGGCAACAAATGCTAGCTAATTTTTTAGGTGTCTTACCTATCCTCATATCTCTCTTGTGTGCACTCGCTTTTATCTTGTCAGCACAGACTTTTGGAGGGCTGAACTTTAAGACAGAATTCAGGGTGACTTTACAAGTACAATCTTCAAATATTTAAGAATACAGGTCAGCAAAACATGGCTGCAGTCCTGTGAGCTGCCGGCACCCTCTTCCACTATGGGTTAGTGCACGGCAGCTCTAGTGCCTGTCAATCAGGAAGTGCCAGTCAGGTACTGCTGCAATCACAAAAACAGCCCAGTGTGCCAAAAGTGCAAAACCTCAAGTTCAATTGGAGAAGAGGAACTTGAAAACTGGAATATTTATGCTAAACATGGACATTTCTGAAACCCTTAGACAAGTTCCTGTTTTCCTCCTAAGGACCCTTTTGGACTGAGATCTCATGATGCTACCTATTTAAGAAAAGCTGGCACCATTCACTGTCAAATACTGAAACCCAAGTTGTACTGCAGCACTGGAGGCAGATTTGCAGAGATGTAGACTTCCAAGCAAGGGGAAAACCTGAAGCTCCGAGATGAGCTGTTCCCCATACAGCTCCCACAAATACTGCTCCGGATTCTGCTAATCCTTTAACAGGAGAAGTGACACAAGATGGACTAGAAAAGGTGGTTACTTTCATGCCATATCCACAGGGCAGTTGCTCTACCACAGGTAGCAGCTTACATGTCATTTACAGACACTATTTATATGGTGATGTGGAACACTACTGACAGGTGGCACCACAACTCCTCCTCACTCAATGCTTTGCAGACCACATTCTGAAAGAACTGCACCACTTTCTACTTGAAAGAGACATGAGGTAGTCTTCTAATTGCTGCTCATTTACAACCGATGTCTATGGTCAACAGAGGGGATCACTGTCCTCAAACAGACAAGAATATTAAAGGGCTTTGTGAGAGAGAGAAGGGGGATATCCTTCTGCTTCTAATAGTATTTACCAGTGATCACACCGAAACCCTATATGCACTGGATATTAAGTACTCTCAAGTTTTAGTCAATGAGTGTGAAGTCAAAGATATCAAAAGAGCAGAGTCTCTTAATGGAAATCCATTGTTCTCTAAGGCCCCGACTAATTTACTGCACTCACAAATCCAATCAAACGAGCTGTGCTCTAAGCAGTTGACTGAGTTGTTCCTTTTGTGCAAATCCTGTCTGCAGTGAGATTAAACCCTCCTTTAGGAACCAGCAACTGTGGGCTCTACCTGAGGACCCCACAGGATCAGAAAATGTTCAGTGTCAGATTCCTCTGATGTGGAAGAGGGCAGTATTTAGAAATCAAGGAAGGAAGTCACATTAACATGCACAGTCTTTGGGCACAGACTGTGTGATTTCACAGAACTTGAAAAATCAATCCTAAAAGACTTCAAACAG